GGCGCTGCGCGGCCGAACACAGCAGAGCCCAAAATGTGCTCCATTAAACATTAATGATTAATAAAAATGATTCACAGACAGACAAACTCTTATCATAGTTCTTGATTTAACCTTTGAATCACGTTGGTCCCCGGGAAACCCAACTTATAAGACATCACATCCGCAGACACATGTTCCCCGCTGCCAGCGCCATCTTTGTTTTGTCATGGCCTGTACTCGAAATGAAAACCTGTCTGGTCACATTCTGCGGCTGAAACTCGGGCACCTCTGCCCTACTTACGACATTCTAAAACGATATGTCGGAACCGCGGTCACGGTGAATGACCCCTAGCCTACATAATGTCTCCTCAAAAAAATGAGAAACAAGATGGCAGCAGTTAACCGTATATTAACCTGCCTGAAACTCGCCATGGATAACCTGCTGTCATCCAGGCTACATAAAAACAGAAAACCTAAGCTCCCTGCTTTTAAACTCGGTGCGGAATGAAGCGTTCCCACACCTACACTCAGCTAGCGTCATTACAGCCCCCCAGAAAGACCAGATCAGTGTCTAAAATTTATTATTTCAATGTGTGCGGCCTGAAATATTAGCCGCAGCTGTTTAGCATATCGTGCTAATGAAAATAGTAGCTCACCGTGTTTCCGTTGACAGTTCAGGTTCTTTTAGGTCCAGTCTCGGAACGCCACTCACAGCGGTCGGCCGTATGACAGACCCACAAAAACCCGGAGCAGACAAAAAACCAGGTCAGCTTCCGCCGCCGCCATGTTCCGTGGAAAAGTCCCAGACAGCCGGCCGCAGCGAGCGCCCTCTGTTCCTCGAAGCTTCCGTAATTGACAACGCCAATAAAACTGTTGTGGCAAATGCAGAAACACGTCGGAATAATGCGAGAAAAATCTGCGTATGTGATAATCAAAATATGATTTTATTGTGAGCAACAATCACACAGAACTCAATCAGGAAGGTTCTGTCTGCTTGTCGCTTCCGGGCGTCAGCAGAACACAGCATATAATATACAATAGGCCGAACCCATGTGTCACTTCACAACCAATCACAGATTGCCGAATGTACTGTTCAGCCAATCACAAGGCTCATACCCAGAGTATGTCAAAGTTCAGTGCCTTGTGAAGATATGAGAGATGAACAGTGTCAAGGGGAAAACTGATAAATAATTAGTCCATGACACAGTGCTTTGTCAAAAAACGGACAAAGCTTTTTCCTTTTTTCTAAAAGAATATCTGATTCTGCACACACAACAACAAAATCATGGATAAACTCCCAGCTTACGTCTGAGCTGCTCCTCTGTCTGTGACTCAGAGGAAGCGGTCTTCACAGCATCCAGCCCATCGTGTGCCAAAAAAACTTGCAGTAAAGTTCTTCTACAGATAAATAAATAACTGCTGCGGTTTTGTTCTGTCCTAAACTTTACCCTAGCTTCATATTTTTGGAGGACGTTGCTTTTAGCGTGTAGGAGGTGAGCTTAAGGTGGCATTAAGCTTCTCCCACATCTCTCATACACAAGGTTATGAGGAAACTTTTATCAAGGTATTTCTCATTACTTTAATATCTTGACTGTGCCAAGTGAAAAGTGACACAATAAGTGAATGTTCAGATGAGTTCAAGTTGATTCATAAAAGACTATGCAATCATTTATTTACACAAATTGAACAGATCATAAGTTACACCTGATTGTGGTTATTCCTATAACAAGGGTCAGAGTTAAATGAGATAAAAACCCGCGTCCGAATTTCAATTCACATCAACTCAGATTACTTATATAGAACAGTAAAACGTCCATTCTGATGTTAACAACCAAACAATTTTACTGGCACTTTTAGCTTAAGTTTTGGCAAATTAAGAACAAGGAAAGGAGGAAAGTAAGATTAGTATGTTACTACTACTTTTACTTTTATCAAAGTGTGGGTCAACCGGAACTGCACGTCTTTTCTGAGCTCAGGGTCCACATGACACGTCACTCCAAACACATCAGCTTTTACCTGGTGATGACTTCTTAAGACACCCTCGGGGTAGGAGCTGGCTCGTCTCCGATCAGTCAGGGAACTGAATGTCGTCTCGCTTACCGGTCATTGGTGAACAGGTGTTTTCACAGGTAACTTGCATCTGTTTCAGTCCAAGCCAGAAAAATTCTAGCCGTATCCGGTCCCTTCTTTCCAAAATAAAATCTCCCTTCGGGAGTTAAAAAACACTCAGAGGCTTGAAGCCTTGATTTGGAACCACCGGCTGGCGTGCAGGGTCCCTGGCTGTGAAGTCTCCCCTAGTTAGCTCATGGGATCAGACTTAAAGCCAAACTGGGTTTTCTCCAGAGAGAATCCCCGCTGTCTTCCTCAGTTGGAATCAGGAAGAAGAGTGTGTCGCTCAAAGCCGTCCGGGTTAGTAAAAGAAACGGATGAACTTTGGTTCCGCCCTCAGGCTTAGAGATGAGTCAGAGAAAGAAAGATAAAGATTTGCCAGCGGCACCAGCCCAAGGTTAAAATTCTGTGGTTGTCCAACAACATGATATGATAACCTCTTTTCAGCTTTCTTCTGATAGACTCTAAGAGAAATCACTGCAAAACATTTATGATGATTAATTAACATTTCTGTTTTATAATCAGTTCTGAACCTTCTGTTAGTCCAGATAAATGAAAGACTTTCTCAGGAAAAATCCACAATTATATTACTGTGTTCACAGTAAAATAAAACAGTGATTTACATAAAAACACAATGAAAACATTGTAATCAGATTCTCTGTGATTTTTTTATACCATTATTAATCTTTAAGGCACGATAAAAGAAAACAAGTGGTTCCATTTTCCTGTGACAGTCATTATCATGATTTAAAAAATGCATAACATTCTCAGTTAAACAACAAATGAATCACAAACAAGAGATTGTTCTGTCCATTATCTGATTAAGAGAACTGAGGGGTTCTCTTCCACGGTTAGAATGACCTGTCATGGCCTAKATAMAGTTCAGTTTGTGACAGAGTTCCTGTCCTCTCGTCAGGCCTGTCCGAGGCCTGCTTCGAGGCAGTAAATCTTGTTTCTTCACTCGAGGTGACCCCTACAAGCGAGTTTGTTGTTTCCCTTCTCCTGTGTCGGGAGGGGTGCTCAGAGCTCACCCTTTACCGTACAGTGAGCGGCAGCGACCAAAATACTTCAGAAACTCGCCCGAGTAAGCGAATTCCATGAGATTCCGCATTTTACACTGGATTCCATTTTGTTTGCTCAATTCCGCGATTTCGTCCACGTTTTCCACATCGTGGAAATTATAGGGCCCTGCTTTTAGGATGCAGCAGTCGGCCACTGAAGGAGCTCTGTAGATCAGCCACAGTTCCACGCAGAGGGTGGGAGACATTTTCTGTCACTGATGTTATTTTAGCCAGAGTCCTTCTGTCTCCCACCACCTCCACTGGGTCGAGGGGGCATCCCAGCACAGAGCTGGGCCGTGTACATATAGAAACAGAACATCAAGATAAAATAAGTAATAGACTGCTGACTGAATAAGCCTAACAGAAACTACGTAGCTAAGAATTGGAGCAGTGCAAAATAAAATCAGCACGTAAACGTTCCTGCAGATGAAAATTCACTTTGTGCAAATGAACATAACATAGTTTAACGTTAGTTGAATACATAATGTCTATACATTAATGTAAAGTACAATGGGGTTCGAATCAGTGGGAGTTTTGGTCCTGATAAATTGCAACAGTGAGGGTTTAGCTTTTTAAGTTTGAACAGTTTTTTTCTAAATGTTCAGCATCGGGTCTAAATGTTTTTGTCTTACTTTTAGTCCGTCGTGTTGGGTGTCAATCGCTCCGACTACATGCTGGACCAGAGAGAAGATCAGGCGTCTTCTCTAAAGCAAATCGAGATAAACACGATCGCTGCGAGTTTTGGAGGCCTCTCGTCACAGACACCAGATGTACACAAGTGAGTTGTTAGTGCATCGAGCTCAGTTTAAGTTATTTATTTTTATTTTCTGGTTAAACGTAGATAAAGTGATGACGAGAGTAATTAACGAGCTTCTCGTTTTGTTCGGCAGACTCATATTGAAGATGGCCACCAGGCTGGAGGAGAGTCGGCTCATCCTGGACAACAACCCTGCAGCTGGTCTGGCCAGAGGCGTGGCCAAAGCCTGGGAGCTTTATGGATCAGAAAGGTAAGATCCATCCTGCTCACAGATTAAACACGTCACTTTTACACAGCGAGCGGTTGGTGTGGAAAAAAACTTTTTTTTTCTCATGGAGGCCGTAGCTGTGTCCATCCACCTTTTCGAATGCGATGCTTCAAATGAGCATAAAAACTGTTGATGAAAACTTGGCTAGTGAAACTGATTCTGGTTGAGCACTGGAGATAGTTTTTAACAGGACCCCCCTCCCAAAGCAAACCTAAGTGTTTGATTTTTTCTTACAGAATGACATCTTTAATTGTAGAGAGCTTCTTAAACGTAAAACTGATAATGCCTCATTTGGTGTAAAGTTTTAAATATTAGTGTCTAAACATGTTAGATTTTTTTTCTTTGTTTGTATTTGATGAAATATAATAAAGACCTTAAAGAAAAGTCCCAAATACAAACCTTAAGAGTGTTTTTGAAGCACTTTTCAGAGCAGTACCAACAACTAACAATGATTTTCGGGAAACAAGCCCTAAATTTGAACTAGTTTCCCCGCACGCTGCGTTACCAGCTGGAACATCCTGATATCCAAATAAGGTTTGAGGTTTTCTCTGTTAAATGATGTCATTTGAGATTCAGACAGTTTTTTTCAGGGGTCATCTCGATTAGAGACAAATCCAGCCGTATCTCTGAAACAGAACATATCAGGATGATACACGTATCAGAACGTAGTTTATAAAGTTAGGAATCTGAAATCTGCTTAGTTGATATTGAATTTGATTTTTTTTTATGTAAGCTGGAAGCGTCACCTGGATCGATTGATGTTGTTTCAGAGCGGCTGTCATGTTCTTGGTGGAGGAGACCCAAACAAACATTTTTGATCAGCGCTACGTTGAGAGTGAACTGTGGAAAAGGTAAGAGGGTTCTTTTCCTGCTTTTTAATTTAATTGTTTTTTTAGTCTTCTTATTTGTGCAAAAAGTAGGAGAATTATCTGGTCTGAATCACTGTGAACTTCTGTGTTTTTATGTTTTGTTTTTTCAGGAACATTCCCACAATCAGAAAGCGGTTTGATGATGTCGCAAAAACAGGATCTCTTGATCAGGACCAGAGGCTGTTTGTGTAAGTCCTCTTCTGTTTTTTTTTTCCCTGTAAATGAGTGATTATGTTGGGGTTGATGCTAAATGTCTTTATTCTCTTTCAGTGATGGCACAGAGGTTTCTGTGGTATACTTCAGGAATGGCTACATGCCACAGAACTACATTTCTGAACAGGTTTGAATTCATTTTATTTTATTATATTTTTTATTTTATTTTATTTTTGTTGTTCTAGATGCTGATTTTACTGATGGATGCAAATGAGTGAACTAGTTTGTTAAATTGAACTTGATGACACCCCGATAATCTTTTCAGACTGCAGACAGTGACACTGGTTGAAAATAGATGAACAGTTTAAAGAGTAACTTACCCCAAAATTAACTTTTTTAGCTGATAAACTGTCTAGAATGTGTCTAAAATGTTATATAGTACTGTTTCTGTGCTAATTTTGATGTTTTTGTGCGTATTTGTTCAAATCTATAATATCTGGTCTAAAAACGTCTTTTTGCTGCTCTTATGGGTAGAGCACTGCAGGCT